TTTTCCATCGACTTTTTTGTCTCTGTCAGGATCCTTTTCCTTTATCTCAGCATCCAATAAAGCTGGGAACAAGGAGACATGGCAGAAAAAGTGAGAAATTGCAGCCATGTCTGAGTAAGAGCGCCACTTTCAGCCAGATTCAGTCAGATCAACATTATGCTTACTGACAGGCTGTTCCACTGAAAGCTCTGCTCCCTGCCAGGGGTGTGGGTGAGTCTGAGCCAGCGTGACAATAAAAAACATTGTTGTGTTTGTTTGGACAGCCCGCTCATGCGCTACATTTCCCACTGCAGTCGGTTTGTCGGACTCATGGTGGCACCTAATTTGTTCGGAGGTTGAGAGAAATCAGTGAAGCAAACTCTGACAGATGCCTGCATTTTCAAGCCCCCGTATTTCCCCATCCTGTTGACTCATGTTGAAGCCATCTTTTTGGAACTTGTAAAAGTTTCAGTGTTGCTGAAACAAAGTGACATTCAGAGCTTTTGTTTGCTGGGGAAGTGTCCAAGCTGCTTTTAGAGGTTTGCCACATCTCTTTCATCAGTGTTGAAGAGATGCAATGAAAGGAGGTGACAACAAAGTGCTCATGGACTTATGTCCATCCACACAGACGTCCTTTGACTCAACCATATTCACTACTTCACCCACATCTATCCCACTGTCATTGTACCTGCAGCCCACTGGATCACATTTTTCCTCACTCTGTCATTGATCCTCATGCCTGTGCCAGCTGTAAAGAAACTGAGAGGGCAACAAGGGAAACCCACAGTGGGTTTTTCCAAGTAACATTAGCCTCCCCAAGGACAAGATGCGATTGGTGGGCAGAATCTGTCTAGCTGTCAGTTTGGGTCAGTCTCGCTGTCAGTCCTGCAGCTTTGGCTTCAAACCCTTGTGTCGCTCCACTAAAAATGTACATTCATCATTGGGACTTATGAGATGCCCTTCAACAGCAGTCTGACAGAAGAAGATAAAGGGGATAAGAATAAAAATTACTCAGTCTGAAAAGAAAGTCTCCATCTGATTTCCACTCCATCTCTCACTTATTCATTTTCCCACTCTGTGAACAATGGCACTGAGTCACTGAATCATGCGACTCCTCTCTGCCAACCCTGGTGACTGACAAGGTGTTGGAAATTCCCTTTGCTATGACCATCAACAGTGAAATCAGGGGTTTAAACTACCCAGGCCATATAAATGAATGGATAAATCAAATTAAACTGATAAATGTTAGAGGATCTCTCAAGATCTCAAGAGAGAAACTTGCAAAAGAGGATAAGCGGTGCAAAAAGAATAAAAAAAATTACAGGGTTTTTTTTTTTGTTTGTTTTTTTTTAATTTCCATTTCGAGATTAAAGTTAAAAAATTTAAAGTCGAAATTTCAATTTTATTCATGTTGACTTAAATCTTGGAATTTTGATGTTAATCTCAAAATTTAATTTTTGAATCTTGAAGTTTTGACATTATTCACAACATTTCGTAATCTTGAAATTTTGACTTTAATCTCTAAACTTCAATATTTAATCTTGAAATTTCAACTTTAATGTAAAATTTCAAGTTTCATCTCCTTTCTGTAATTATTTTTTTTCTCTTCATGTGGCCCTAATCTTCTTTCATAGGAACTAGACAAATACACCACTACTCAAAAAATGATTTACGGCTACATTTGAGAAGTAGTCAGGGTCAGGTAGACAGTGTGGTTCCTCCTGATCAGGGGCCTTATGTATCAACGCTTGCGGCGCAAGAAAACCTTGCGTACGCCAAAATCAGCGCACACGTCCAGATTTATCATCGCGAAACAAGCGTCGGTTCCAGCGCTAATCAACGCAAAGTCAGGAGGTGGTGTAGAAATTGGCGTTGAGACGATACTTGCATTGACTGTGATTCGCACTTTGGCGACGCTGTGTGGCGGTGTTTGGTGACTCACTATGTGACAAGCGTGCACCACATCCCCGTGGCCGAGCAGCACGTCGCCCCACATGACGAACCAGCAGCAGACGGAGGGATGTGAGCTGATCCCTGCCGGGCCGCCGTCCTCGCGCGGGAGAATCTCATCACCACAGTGTGAATGGGTAAGAAGTGAATACACAGTTCAATGAGCCAAATTAATTTATTTTCTCCACCAGACGCTCGAGGACATTTATGAGCCGGTCCAGCCGCTCGTTGATCCCCGCGATCCCCCTGATGATTTCTTCCTGCGATTGCAGGACCCCCTCCGCGAGGACCCTTCCACTGCGTCCGGGTGGTCCAGCGGAAGCGCCGCGGCTGGTGGACGCTCCACCGCTTGTCGGCGCGCTGGTGCTGATGCTGGTGCTGGTGCTGGTGCTGGGGCCGGGGGTCGGGGTGGCCCGAATGCCGCTGGTCCTGGCCGCCGACTCCGAGCCGGCGGACGGGCTCCCGTGGCCGGGGTTCCGCAAGCCGGCGACACGGCCGACACATTGATTTCTGTGACACAATAAAAATATTTGTTCATTTCAATTCCTGCTTCTGTGTATCTGTTGCGTTTACATCTCTCTCCACGGTATCATAGGTAATGTAATCCAGTATTTAGAGGTCAGTTATGCACATTACAGTTGTTTATTGCATAAAAAGTTATCGAAAAATAAAGTTAAGGGCGAAGTATAAATCACGTCTAAAAATAGACTGAATCCCGTCGTTGAAATTAAGTATAAACTTAGACTAGACATCTAATATACGTCTTTTGCTCAGTGGGATGACAAAGCATGTGGACATTTGTGTGACACGCCACTTACCCTATAATAATAATTGCCACCACCCGCTGCTCAAACGGTGTGAGGGTCTCCTCCCCCGGACCCCCACCTGTCTGGCCAGTACTCCTCCGGAGGGCAGCTGTACGCCGCTTGACCTCCACCTTGAGGTCCGACCACTTTTTTTTAATCGTCGCGGTTGTGTGTGTCTCGGAACCCACCGCATTCACCCTCTCGCAAACTTTCTCCCACTCCAAGCGTTTTTGTTTTGCACTGACGCCACTGGACAGGCTGCCAAACAAAACACGCTGTCGCTCCTCCACCTCCGCCACCAGCACCTCCACCTCGCACGCCGTAAATTTAGTTTTTCTTGTCATTTTGTCTGCGTGCGAGGACAGGGAGACCCTATTTAAATAAATCTGCATATTTATAGGAGGGCGTAACGGGGACGGGCCCAGTCACTCCGACATCTGCGCTCAATTCCATGCTGATTGGGATTTATCAAGGAAACACACATGGATTTCGGCGCCCGCACACATTGATACATACGGATTTTTTTCAGCGTGACGGACCTTGCGTGCGCTCGTTTCAGGTATGAGTTCCACGCAAGTATTGATACATAAGGCCCCAGAAGTCTTAAGTCTACAGTACAGGCCAAAAGTTTGGACACACCTTCTCATTCAATGTCTTTTCTTTATTATTTATATGACTATTTACATTGTAGATTATCACTGAAGGCATCAAAACTATGAACGAACACATGGATTTTTTTGACTTATAATAAAAGTGTGAAATAACTGAAAACATGTTTTATATTTTAGTTTTTTTTTAAATAGCCATCCTTTGCTCTTGATGACGAAAGTACTTAGTAGTCACGAAGTAACCCTGACAAGGCACACCTGTAAAGTAAAAAACCATTCCAGGTAACTACCTCATGAAGCTCATTGACAGAACAGCAAAAGTTTGCAGTGCTATCAAAAAAGCACAGTGTGGCTACTTTGAGGAATCTAAAATATAATAGATATTTTCAGTTATTTCACACTTTTTCCTTAAGCACATGATTCCACATGTGTTCATTCATAGTTTTGATGCCTTCACTAAGAATCTACAATTTAAATAGTAATGAGAAGAAAGAAAATGCATTGAATAAGAAGGTGTGTCCAAACTTTTGGCCTGTACTGTAGATCAGTTTATCAGACACCCATTGAGCTCCATATCAGCTCCATTCACCTGACAAGTCCAGGAACAATTCTGACACCATAATAATAGTATCAAAAGTACAAAAATGCAAATTTCACATCAGTTTTGAAGAAAGATGTAAAAATTATTTACAGAAATTAAACAAGACAATTCAACTCGCTGGATTTTCAGACATTTGTGAAGGTCTTGTGATTGGTTAGAAAGACTTCCAGCTGGATACAGTCACACTGCAGTGCAATTTATGTAAAGTTTCAATGTTTCTCAAACTGAACTAATGAGCTGTGAGTTATGACCTTCCTTTTATAAGTAAAAATTACATAAATAATAATAATGATAACTTGGTTTTGTCCTGCATAGGTGTTTGTTCATTGACTGCAGTTGCAGTTTGGAAATCTTGGGCACAGTTTTACCTCCAGTGTGTGAATGTCCAATACCTTTCCTTTCCACATACTCATGCTGGTACTTCTGGTTTCCAAAGCCAGGATGAGAATTGATTGACAGACTAATGGTTTAAAACAATTATTTCTGTGTAAGGTTAAAACCACTCCTTTCCTCTGTCCAATCACCTGTGGTTGTGAAGAGTGTTTTGTGTTCTGCTGGTCTAATCAGTGGAGCTCTGATAGGTATGAAAACAGGTGTATAAAGGGGGAGGGGCTTAAAACAACAGCAGGAGAGGGAGAAATGTTTGTAGCAGCATGTTTGCTACTCTTTGGACATTATATATATATATATATATATATATATATATATATAATATTTTCCCCCCTTTATCCTTCAGTTTGATGCATTAATTATTATCACTGGCTCTAACATATTATAAACCCTCGGGCTGACCACTCATACTCAGAATCATACACCAAATGCATGACTGGTTGCCCTCTCATTTTACAAACAACAGCCAGGCCTTAAAATGGGACATGACAGGGGGGGGCGCAGCTGAGCAGCAACATGTGAAGACGTGTTTTTGTGAGCTCTGCTTAGAATGAACGTTTATTTAATATTCCTCCTCTCCTTCTCGTTCTTCCCGGTGCAAACAGGTCTCTAAAGTGCCAAGTCCCTCAAATTAGTCGGGTTTTTCTTAATTCAAAGCTGTTCACAATGCCTAAATCCCAAAAGCCGAAGCCAGGGCCAGATGCCTCGGACTCGCTTGACGTGGAGCCGCCCGCGGAAGCGAGTTCAGGGTCGGATCTCGACGCAATCATGGCTGCCATAAAGCAAACAGAGCAGAGTGTGCTAACCAAGATCGACTCGTCTGTGATGGCGGCTGCAGGTAAACTGGACAAGAAAATAGACAGCTTGGCGAGTGACTTAAGGACAGAAATCCCGAATGTGCGCGTAGAGTTTAAGAAGGTAACTGAAGAAGTGCAGAAAGAAAACGCCACATTCTCAAGCTGCATTGGTGATCTCGAGGAGGAAGCTAATGGCAACGCTAACCGGGTTGTCGCGCTTGAAGCTAAAGTTAATGCGCTGTCTACACAATTCACCCATCATCAGATAAGACCGAAGATTTGGAGTCCCGGCAGCGGCGAGATAACTGCAGACTAGTCGGAGTGGAAGAGGGACTTGGAAATATATGACCGGAGAAAGCCGTGGCCGAATTATTGAAGGAAGCGCTGGCCCTCGACTATACGCCGACGCTTGATCGGGCGCACAGAAGCCTGCAGCCGAGGCCATAGGATGGAGATGCCCTGAGGCCAATAACTGTCAAGTTCCACTACTTTCAGGAGAAAGTGGATGTTCTCCGAAAGGCCATGAGTGCAGGTCCCATCACCCACAAAGGCTTCGCCTGTGTACGGGCGTGAAATACGGTCTCCTGTATCCAGCCACACTGAAGATCACGACCCCAGCTGGGGAACAGGTGTCTTTCGATGACCCGACCAAGGCAAAGCACTACATCGAGACCAATCTGCGCCCACGGGAGACGGAGGGAGAGTGACAGTTAATTCACGGGGCCATAATAGGTATCATACGCTGCGTGTTAACATTGCAGTAGTCTGCACATGCTGACTTATATTTTGACTGGTAAATATCACGACACTGCAGTTGGATGCATTTTATGTTTGGACAATGGACAAGTCTAAGTGACATTTTTCAGCCATCTGAGGAATATAAACAAGGGGGCAAAAAGAAAAAATTTGGACTGAGGATCCATGATGAACAATTATGCACAGTTTACTAAAGTAAGTGAAGGGTTTATGTAGACACCACGTGGCCTGGAGAAAATCTTACTTAAAAATGTCAATATTCTTCTTTGTTTTCCTTTTTCCCTGCCAACTTAGTGTAAGTGTCTAATGTTAAGTCTAAATTTGACATTATAACCCTAAAGGTACCTCTTCTTTATTTTCTGATGTTTTTTGTTTAATTAACCCCCTTGTCACCACCATTATCACTAATTCTAGTTGATTTTACTCTTTTCTTGTGGGGATTTCTTCCAACTTTAAGTGCTAAGAACCTTATCAGCCTGTGACCAAATAAGTGCCAGCACACATGCAGCAATAATAGCAGCGGGAGGAAAGCCCTATTACATTTTGTTCTGCCTTTGCAGAGTTCGTGTAAGAGTTCAAGTTAGTGTCGACGTGTTATATGCCTAAGAGAGAAAGGATAGTTTTCAGGGCAGTCTCAGGTTTAAGGAAGACCAGCCCAGGAGTCCAGGATGGTAAGGGGTTTATCTATGTCTATCTGTTTGTTTTTGTCAGTTTTCTTTTGGTTTTATTTGTTGCTTATGGTTTGACTCAAACATGCACTGAAGTACTCAGATATAGCCAACATGCAGAACCGGTTCATTACAAACAGTTGCACTATGATTCTGAATAATGTAAATAATCAACAAGGAACAATTTCGTTCATTAGCTGGAACGTCAAAGGGCTGAACAATTTGGTTAAACGGAGCAAAATATTTAGTCATTTGAAATCACTAAAACCTGATGTAATATTGTTACAGGAGACATATTTAAATATTAATTCCCAAAAAAGACTAAGCTGCAAGTGGATTGGACAAATATATCACTCACGTTTTAACTATAAAGCCAGGGGAACAGCAATCCTAATTAGGAAGGGGATTCCATTTGAACACTCTGAAGTAATATCAGATGCTAATGGCAGATGTATTGTTGTAGTGGGCAAGCTATTTAATACACCATTAATATTGGCTAACATTTATGGACCAAATTGGGACAATGCACAATTCTTTCTTAATTTTTTTTCAACTCTTCCAGATCTTAATTCCTACAAACTAATTCTAGGTGGAGACTTCAATTGCGTCCTCCATGCCCAGCTAGACAGGTCAAGTGTAAGGTCAAACAACACTCTTAGCTGCAGTGACTATTAATTCCCTCCTTCGCTCTTATGGCCTATCAGACCCATGGTGGACAAAAAATCCAACTACGAAGCAATTCTCCTTCTTCTCCCCCGTTCACCATAGTTACTCCAGGATTGATTATTTTATTGTTGATAACCAGCTACTTCCCTTAATTTCCAGCAGCAAATATCACAGTATAGTGCTATCAGATCACAGCCCAGTGCAGATGGATCTAGTTTTTCCAACTAATGTAGCGCCCCAACGAACTTGGCGGCTAGACCCCCAGCTACTTTTATGTAAACATTTTAGAATATTTCTCAACAATCAGATTGAGTTCTTTTTGGAAATGAATGACACTCAGGATGTTTCAAGGGGAGTTTTGTGGGAGTCTATGAAAGCCTACATTAGGGGTCAAGTTATCTCTTATGTGGCACATAGGGATAAGGAGTGTTCCAAACAACTTAAAGAGCTTGCTGACAAAATTGCAGATATTGACAGGCGCTATGCTCTTTTGCCTATGCCAGATCTCTTTGAGGAGAAATTACTGTTGCAAACTGAATTTAATACACTTGTGACATGGATGGCTGAAAAAATTTTTTTCAAATCCAGACAGGTATATTATGAACATGGAGATAAAGCAGGGAGGCTTTTTGCACTTCAACTCAAACAGCAGTCAGCTGAACAAACAATCACAGGAATTGATACAGGCGCTGACTCCATATCTCTCAGCTCCCGAGTCATTAATGACCAGTGAGAACCAAAGAAAAAAAGTGTCTGTAAATTTCTATTTTTGTGTGATTTCCTTTCTATTTGGGCCTAAAAAAACACCATACAATTTTAATTTTTTTGAATATATTTTTTATTTTAATTTTATAGCATGTCCACTGTAGAGGACAACAGGACGATTTTCGTGTGAAGAATTTAGAAAATGAGAAAAAAGGAGCAAATGACATGTTTAGAGTGATCTTCACCCAAGAACACATTCAAGTTGAACAAAAAAAACAAAATGCAATTGTTCTGTTACTTGTTGCTTGCAAGGACAAAAAACATTGATCTCAGTTCAACAGTGAACTACAAGACATCGAACATAAGTAGTTCTGCTTTTCTTCTTCCTTTGGATATTTTAGCTGTGATAATCCTTGAAGCATGTTTTCTGTTTGGTGATGCAGAGAAACATCTTGCACTTGGTGCACCTGATGAATGTCTTGCCATTGCAGCCCTTGTTCCTGCATCTTACTGCATGTTTGATGTCCATCATCTCTGGCATGTGCCTGGATCCTAGTCTGCGTACAGATGGCTCTGGTTGTGGGAGCCTTGTTTTGGCTGGTGGCTGATACTCTTCCTCACTGTCTTCACTGCTGTCCTCAAATGAAGCACTATCCATCAGCTCTTCTGCCAGGTGCAATTTAAAGTCGAGGTACTGCTGTGTGTTCTTAGCAGGTCGATTCAGCACTTTACTGTCAGACTTGTACTGGACCAGAGCATTTGTGATGGCAACATCAAAGAAATGTGTCATCACACGTGATGTCCACTTCTTGGTCCTAGTTGACATGCGGTAGAAGCTCAGCATGCGGTCGCAGAGGTCTACGCCACCCATATTGTCATTATATTCTCTGATTACTGCTGGCCGTCTCACCTGGACATGGCCTTTGTCTTTGCTGGACCATCTGCTACAGATGTCCTCTGGATCTTTCCCATAGACAGTGGAGGCCATTAGAACTGGTTTATTATCAAACCATTTCGTCACTGCCAGCTCAGGCTCCCTCCGGACCAACGTCACTGAGGCCCCTCTCCCTTCTTTTCTCAGCTCCTTATCTCCTGGCAGCTGGCATTGCTTTGGAATCCTGTTCTTCATAATGGTTCCAGTTGCTGGAAGACCGTTTAAGAGCAAAGCATCCATGAGATCGATCGTAGTGAAATATCAATCAAAGAACACATAAGTTCCAGTAGGAACTGACTCGACCATTCGCAAGACCGCTGCAGCTCCAACTCCCAGTCTTTGGCCCCTGAATGTGTTCTTGCCCTGATAGACCTCGAAATCCAGGACCAGACCATTTGGCGAGGCAAGCACAAAAACCTTTAGTCCAGTAGGGTTTGGCTTTCCTGGCACATATTGCCTGACTGGGCAGCGGCCTGTGAACGGGATGATTTGCTCATCAATGCACACCTTGTCACACCTTGGAAGGCTGAGACAACCTTGCCTCACACGGTCAAGCAATGGTCTGACTCTCCAAAGAATGTCTGACTCCTTTGCCTCTTCGGTTACATCCAGGTCATTGACAATCTTGAGTGAGCTTCTCAGTTTGTGGAACCTATCCCTTGTCATTTTGTCATTGATGTATTGTGAAAAGTACTGGATTGGACTCCAGTATTCACGGATTTTAGGGTCATCTTGATAGGCAGGAAGCCCAGGTAGCACAGGTGTGAATCTGTTATGGATGGGAAAAAAAAAAACACAAATAAATTAATTTAAAATTTAATATAAGGAGTAACATTTAATTTTTCCACATCAATTTGGATTAATGCAGTAATTTCAGTGTCATGGATGTGATATGACTCTCTATTGACCAACTTTAAAAGGTAACTTGCATATATTTAACAGCATTTAAACATAGTACAAATACAACAATAATCTAACATGATAATAAAATTTAATACATTAGCCTGAAACTAATTAAAACATACAAATTAGTCCTGGCCCACAGAGGACGACGACTTTCCTGCTCTCTCTCTGCCTCTGAGTCTGTCTCATCAGATTCTCCTGCATCTTCATCCTCTCCCTCTTCATCATCTTCTTCCCCTATCACAGGCTGATACTTTGGTCGTGTCCATCGTTGCATGGCTTCTGGTCCTCAGTCTTCCAATCACTCTCAGCAATACCTGGCAAAACACTGCAGCCTGACCCTTTGATAGCTATCTTTGGTGTGGTTAATGACAAGCTAGAGTTGTCCTGCCTCCACAAAAATGCAATTACCTTTGCATCGTTGTATGCCCGTCGCCTGATACTATTGAACTGGAAGGGGAAGAGCCCTCCTGCCTGTGTTCATTGGATTAGAGAGGTGATGATGGGATTGGCTCTGGAAAAAAAAAGGTATACAGCACACGGGTTAGAGGACAAATATGACAGAACCTGGTCACAGTTCATAACTCATATCAAGAGCCTTCGTTTTGCCTGACTCCTTGTTTTTGTTCATTAATGTATTTATTTTTCTTTCATTCTCTTTGACTGTTGTCCTAGTCTTCTCGATGCCCATATTCTCACTGTTGGGAATTTTGTCTTTGGTCCAGAATGTTGGTGTTATGATCATAACGATCAACATAGATTGGTTTGAGTCTTTTCTGTCTATGTCTGTTTTTTTGTATTTGTGTATATTTGTTTTCTTCTTTTGGTGCTCTGTTTGTACGTTTGATGCATGTGTGTCTTTGTGGATGTGTTTGGAGCGAAGCCACCTGGATGGGTTGGGGGGTGGGGCGGGTTCACAACTTTTGTAAGAAATGTTTAGCTCATGTCAATGTTCTCAATATGGAAAAATGATAAATAAAGTTGTAAAAATAAAAATAAAAAAATTTACATGGCTGTAACACATGTTCATTCTGTAATTCAGAAGCATTATTTTGAAACTTGAAGAGATAGAAGTAGTCTCTTAGGTAACAAAGATAATGAAGTCAAACAAACATTTACAGTGCTTCATGTAAGTCTGTCTTTCATTGTGCAAAGATAATCTTTGTGTGAACTGATAGGTTTGCCTTGTAATGTGTTGTAATCGCAGTAATTTGTTTCTTCTCATGCCCGTCATGGATATGAGTTAGTGGCATTGGGGCACCGAATTGAGAAATCTCTTACATGGATACTCTTTGTAAGGGCTAACATGTGGAGAACCCGCAGTCAAGGAAAACAAATCTCTACAGGCTGAGACTAAACCCCCAAGTGAAGGGGTTCTAATCCCTGGACTACTTGTCACCCTGCTACAGGCTGATGTCCCACAATACTGAAACTAAACATTGAGTTAAAGAAATATTTGCTGTAAAAAAAAAAAAAAGAAATATTTACTGTAAAATGATGTGTAAGACTAGTCCCTCTGATTATATGGTTTGTAGCGTTACCATGGTTACGGACCATGGCTATATTTTCCTTGCAGCACCATCAGTCACATTATTAACAGTAATATGTCCTTTGCAGATGTGTTGACTTTCATCCTCATTCTGCTTTGTTTCTTCTCTGAGCTTTACACTTCACACACTTTTAAAAACTATCGTGCTGCTCCTGTTATAGAGTTCATAACCATTGTGAATGGATTTCCCATCTGTATGTAAATATATAGTGTGATTGGGTGAATGTGAGGTCATGTAAGCACTTTGAGTAGTCCTTTATGACCAAAACCCTGTCTTATATTCAGGTCTATACTTAAAACCATCCTTAAAATAGGGTTTCTGTTGACCCTCCCCCAAACTCCTACTTTTTACACATCGTCAATAATTACTGGTGAGAAATTAGTGAGACTAATGTGAATCACTTTTAATACACACTTGCACAAACACATCTGAATTTTTGAACGGATTAGCATTTAGCTTGGATGAGATGGCAACTACTTGTCAGTTTGGCATTTTAGAGAAAAGGAGGGTACTGTGACTTTTTTCAACGCCCATTGATGGAGTGTTCATGACAGAAGTTATTCTATTTCTGTTTAAATATTCAACAAAAAAACAAAAAATCCAAGCAAAACTAAATTGCTCTTAACCTTATACACACACACACACACACACACACACACACACACACACACACACTCGTGCTGCAAAGGTACACCCTACTCTTTAAAAAAAAAACCTTTTTTTCTTCATCCTGGAAAATGTGACATTCAGCCTAGCAACGCTCACCACCCTCAGCCTTTTAAGCCACACCAACCCATGAATGAGATGTTTATGGTGATGGTTGCAGTCAGTCCTGAAGGGTAGGGAAGGGATGTACAGGAGGATTTGTTTTGAGGTTGTTTCAGATAAGGAGCCAAAAAGCACCTTACAGTTCCCTCCTTCAGCATGAACTCAGCGGCTGCTAACCATTTTAAATCATTTTTTGATAACCAGTAACTGAGTGTAAAGAGGATCTTTGGAGAACCTCTGCAGCTTTTAGGGTGGACAGGACACCTTATTCTGTTCTAGGACCGCTTAAAGAAAAGAGAGTTTCCAGCAGCAGGCGCACGTCAAGACACTTTTTATGAGGGCATATGCTATGGATTGGTCGCTGCTGTTTTTGTAAGGATATTGGCTCTCATTTATCAAGCTTGCTCAGATCTGAGCGCAGATGTGCACGCAGGATTCATCGTACGATAGGACACGCGTGAGATTTATGAAAGGGTTCGTATCTGACCAATCCCAGCGTACGTATGATCGGGTCTTGATAAATGCAGCGGCTGATATCGATCGTCATTAACATGTACGCCCTTAAATATTCGAGGTTCAGAAGCCTCGCCCACAGGGGTCAAACATGAAAGAGGAGAAATATTAGAAAGATGCAAAACTTTTTTGAGCTGAAAGTGAATATCCTTACATCTGTGGTGGAAACTAACAAGGATTTCCTCTTTGGAAGCATTAAAACTGGTATAAAGCAGTCCAGAAAACTCCTGTCTGGAGCAGGATTATGGTGGCGCTGAACAGTGCTGCTGCGGAATAGTGGACAGTAAGTTTAAATAAATCATTAGTCAATAAGTTGCTCAAGATGATAAATTAATATCTCATACATGCCTCATATTTTTTTATTGGTATGACATAGGGTACATTGCTCCTATTAATGAAAGTATTAAGTTTTAATTTATTACGTCTTAGTAATGTAGAGCAGACTGGAGAGTGTGATCCTCACTCCTCACGTCAAAGCTTGAGAGGTGTGCTGCTGTGTGTACCTCTATGCATTTGTATGATTACTGTGAGCAACCTACAAGAAGAAGACTCCATAGTGTTGTGTTTTTAGTTAATCAGCTGTGTGCGTCTTCCATTTCAGTAAAGTTCAAACTATAAGAAAATGTGATGCAAAAAATGTAAGCTTCGTTACTGAACAGGATAAGGTCTAAAATAATTCTGCTGTATGAGTGAATAAAATTAGATAATTGGCATCATACAAAAGTTAAAAAGATGAACAAATGATTCGTTTAATACCTTCAAACTGTATGGAGGTATTTTTGGTGCAAAAGGTTTGTGCATCTGTAACATGTAATTTGTATTTTTATTTTTGGTGCAAACAGTTCGTACATCTGTAACATGTAATCTGAGATCTGAGATTGACGGGTTTTACAACCAATCAGAAGTGATAGCATTTCATTACAGCCAGTCAGAGGAGACAAGGCTCTCTACACAGAGAGTGAGAACCAGAGCAGTGGATGGGGTCTCTGCCGTATCACGTCGGTCACTCACTCATAGCATTGGCCAAATGCGAGACCTGTGTGAAGCTGGCCCCCCACCCCTTGCAAAATTTCGGGAAAATAGTCTGCTTCGTTAGTGCTTCGTTTGTGCTGGTTTGTGCCGTTAAAATTTTCGTTTGTGCTGCTATGGTTTTTAAGTTATTAAATATTGTTTTATAGGTCACCCAGAGGTCTCGCATTTGGCCAATGCTATGGGTGAGTGACCAACGCAGTACAGCAGAGACCCCATCTACTGCTCTGGTTCTCACTCTCCATCAACTCATAGGGCTCTATTTTTTTGCCTCGTCAGAGACGTGCCACAGGCGGGGTGTAAGTCAGGTCCGCCGCGCAGACAAGGCGTTCCCAAGCACAATTTGGTATTTTGGTGAGCGGCGCAGCCTGGCGTAAGTATCCCCCCTCCCTAACTCAGCTCCTCCCAACGGCATAAGTCGGAGCGAGGGAGGAGAGAGGGCATGGAGTGGGTTTAACACAGCCAAGACCTGTTTTCACCAATCACATAAGCTCCTTTCCTTGCCTTTAAATCCGCCACCGGCGAAGCGTATTACAATTTTGGTGAAGTAGTCAAAGAGATCAAGAGATGTCTGAAAACAGTAATACCACACGATGGCGACAGAAGGCAGCTCCTCAACAAATGTCGCTGTAAGCGCTGCATTGGGCATCCTCCACACTCTCTCATATGAGCACAGATGGATTTGGTGTGTGTAAGTTTAGACCCACTGGTAAGACAAACACCCTTTTCCACAAATAAAGACACTCACATAAAGTTGCATATATTCAAACCTCACATGACAAAAGTGGGTTGAGCGCACAGATCACAACATTACCTCCAAAAATGGCATTAAAATCTGAACCATCTGTGCGTAAATGACGCATCGCACTCCGTGGCCTGGCTCTTTCTTTCATAGATGTTGGCATATAAAATAAATTTGGCTCACAAAACTGAATATTATATGTAATGAGACAACTGCTTTCTGCTATCCACCTTGAATTCACCCCTCAAAGGAATGCAGGCTCCTCTGGTTTGGACAGGAAATGGGGGAGTAACGGTTTGCACACCAAGTTCCCATTTACGACCCAGGCAACCATTTGGGAGGTGATAGTGAATCTTTAACGCTTCCCAAAAAGGACAAGTTGCTTATCAACCACACAGACCCATAAACACGGAGTCTCTCACCCTGGTTGGGAAAGATCAGAATTGACACTTCAGGATTAACCCAATGACCTAGGGGGGAAAACAGGCCAGTTGGCGCCAAATCTGAAAAACCAGATACCTGCCATAAATTCCTTGGCTTTCTTTGCAGAGCAGAAGGAAGAGGATGCCTGAAAATGGTTTAACTTCTTGTTTAATGGACACTTCACCAGAATTTTCTGTCTGTACACCACATTCTTAATGAAATGGTCTTTTTCCCAATTCTGTAACATGTCCACAAGCCAAACTGTTAACTTCACAAATTTATTCCAGGTTTTCCATGGACCAAGAGCTCCTCCTAGTGGTGATGCCTGAATATGGTTTGATCAGAGCCAAATGGCAGGAATCTAATCACGTGTATTTCTTTCCTTTTGTTATACACCTCGTAGCTTAGTAAATGGTATTCCCAAGATAGGCTAGTAGTTTAGAAGTAGTAACGTGAAACTCGTTTAGACTCAAGTTAAGAGTTTCGGAATGTATCCATACTATGTTTTATCTACCTCACACAAAAATATATATTAAT